GAGTCCTGCTGGTCCTGTGCGCCGTGGTGGCGCCTCTCCTGGACATGACACAGAATGTCCCTAATCATCATGTGCAGCCGCAACGCAGCGTCAAAGTCTCAGCTTAAAGCGTCACCCCGCCTAGTGCGCTGCGTCTGGAGGAGTCACCGCGGACCGCCAACAATTCATTATCACCGACATTACCTAACGCTCACTGCGACTCCACCTCCTTGTGCAGGGGGACTGGTCTTGTCTCCGCCCCCTCCTGGGGTTTTCTGTAGTGGGTGGAGCCTTCTGGGCCCCTCCCTCAGCTCTGCTCTCTTTCCTTGTGCAGGGGGACTGGTCTTGTCTCCGCCCCCTCATGGTTTTCTGTAGTGGGTGGAGCTTTCTGGGCTCCTCCCACAGCTCTGCTCTCTCTCCTTCTGAAGGGGGACTGGTCTTGTCTCCGCCCCCTCCTGTGATTTTCTGTAGTGGGTGGAGCCTTATGGGCCCCTCCCACAGCTCTGCTCTCTCTCCTTGTGTGGGGGGACCGGTCTTGTCTCCACCCCCTCCTGTGGTTTTCTGTAGTGGGTGGAGACTTCTGGGCCCCTCCCACAGCTCTGCTCTCTCTACTTGTGCAGGGGAACTGGTCTTGTCTCCGCCCCCTCCTGTGGTTTTCTGTAGTGGGTGGAGCCTTCTGGGCCCCTCCCACAGCTCTGCTTTCTTTCCTTGTGCGGGGGACTGCTCTTGTCTCCGCCCCCTCTTATGGTTTTCTGTAGTGGGTGGAGCCTTCTGGGCCCCTCCCACAGCTCTGCTCTTTCTACTTGTGCAGGAGACTGAAAATAAATTCATTTCAAATTCATGATATTCATTAAAAAGTCGAATACAATTATATATAAAACAATTTCTATATTTTTTTTTACAATGTCCATTTCGGTCCAAGAATTTTCATTTCGGCGCACTTTCTAGGCCTTCGCGTTCACTTTTGGGCATTTGAGACGCACAGAGATGCGACCTTCTCTATTTTTGTTCTGCGCTGTCACGGCGGGATCTACTCCCATAGGATGACCTTGATTGTGGACGACCTACAGTGTGGGAATGCGTTCAGAAACGCATCCCGCTGCATCTGCTGTGAATGGGATCTTATACAGGCCATACACGGGTCAAATTCCAAACGATTTTTCGTCCGAAAATTGGAAACGTCGTTCGCTCGGTAATCCGATGGCGCCGTCATTGATTTCAAAATTCTTTTCGGAAAAACGATCGTACAATTTGACCGTGATTGAGTGGAAAATCGGTAGTTTTTCACAAATTTTCCAACATGCCTGATCCAGGGGCGGACTGAAAATTGATGGGCCCCCGGGCAATAAGTGGATCATGGGGCCCGTGTCCTCAACCACACCCAAAAAAGCCTATGAAAGGTACTAGCAGCATCTCATGTGGCCCCCTACTGACCCTGGGCCCTCGGGCAGTGCCCAAATGGTCACTCCGCCCCTGGCCCAATCACCAAAAAGGGGAGGAACCAGGAAAATCGTCCGGTGCCATTGACCCAACTAACAGAGCGAAAATCAGCCGATTATTCTTAGGTCTGATTTTTGGACGAAAAATTGATCGATTTTCGACCCATGTCTGGCCGATTTTCGCAGGGCTCGGTAGTCGGGTCGTTCCAGACTCGTCATCAGCCGTTTCCGGCGTGTGAAAGTTTCAGTGAACTCGGGTGAATGTGTCCTGATCAGACCCAAATCCGGCGCCGGGGAGGAAGCGCATACCTCGGCTATTTTTATCCGGCTGCCTTGCGAGCGACTCATGGTCTGCGGTGCGCTCAGATCCTGGGAGAGAGACGCAGGATGCACAGGACATGAGGCAGCAGTTTACTCTGCGATGCGTCCAGGCCACAGACCGGGACCGTGGCTGCAGGGGCCCCACACCTGACCTCTCAGGGGCCACTACTGGGGGATTAGGAGGAACTCCGGCTTCACAGGATAGCAGCACACTGGATATCTACACCATTCGACATTAACCACTTCCAGTCCGGACACTTTCCCCCCTTCCAGTCCGGACACTTTCCCCCCCTTCCAGTCCGGACACTTTCCCCCCCTTCCAGTCCGGACACTTTCACCCCCTTCCAGTCCGGACACTTTCCCCCCCTTCCAGTCCGGACACTTTCCCCCCCTTTCAGTCCGGACACTTTCACCCCCTTCCAGTCCGGACACTTTCACCCCCTTCCAGTCCGGACACTTTCCCCCCCTTCCAGTCCGGACACTGTCAACCCCTTCCAGTCCGGACACTTTCCCCCTCTTCCAGTCTGGACACTTTCCCCCCCTTCCAGTCCGGACACTTTCGCCCCCTTCCAGTCTGAACACTTTCGCCCCCTTCCAGTCTGGACACTTTCCCCCCCTTCCTGTCCGGACACTTTCCCCCCCTTCCAGTCCGGACACTTTTACCCCCTTCCAGTCCGGACACTTTCACCCCCTTCCAGTCCGGACACTTTCCCCCCCTTCCAGTCCGGACACTTTCCCCCCCTTCCAGTCCGGACACTTTCCCCCCCTTCCAGTCCGGACACTTTCACCCCCTTTCCAGTCCGGACACTTTCACCCCCTTTCAGTCTGGACACTTTCCCCCTCTTCCAATCCGGACCAGGGGCGGACTGACCATTTGGAAACTCGGGCACTGCCCAAGGGCCCGGGGTCAGTAGGGGGCCCCATGAGATGCCCCTGGTACCTTTTTCATAGGCTTTTTTGACTTTGGGCAAGGACACAGGGGCCCCATGATCCCCTATTGCCCGGGGGCCCCATGAGTTGTCAGTCCGCCCCTGGTCCGGACACTTTCCCTCCCTTCCAGTCCGGACACTCCCCCCCCCTTCCAGTCCGGACACTCCCCCCCCCCTTCCAGTCCGGACACTTTCCCCCCCCTTCCAGTCCGGACACTTTCCCCCCCTTCCAGTCCGGACACTCCCCCCCCCTTCCAGTCCGGACACTCCCCCCCCTTCCAGTACGGACACTTTCCCCCCTTCCAATCCGGACACTTCCCCCCCCTTCCTGCCCAGGCCAATTTCCAGCTTTCAGCACTTTGAATGACAATTGCGCGGTCATGCAACACTGCACCCATATGAATTCTTTAGCATTTTTTTTTAGACAGATAACGCTTTATTTTGTATTTATTTTATCACCGCTGGGATTTTTTTATTTTTTTTGCTATATAAATGAAAATGTCCAAAAATTTTGAAAAAAAGTGTTTTTCTTATAAAATTTTGCAAATAAATAATCTTTCATCATAAATATCGGCCAAAATGTATTCCGTTATCTTTTTAGTAAAAAAAATAAATAACCCAAATTAGTTTATAACCAAAAATTATCATTTTAAAAAAAAAATTACATTTTTTTTTATATTATTATTTTTTCTTTTTTTTTCTTTTCTACATTCTGTCACCCTAGCAGTGTGGGGTCACCATGGTGACACTGTACTACTTGTGGGGGGTGATGAAGATTTTTTTTTTTTTTACACTGACAGAAGTGACATCTTGCTTACTACTCTGCATGTGATCACTGATTGGTCAATCAGTGATCACATGATCGGGACCTCGCACAGAGGTCCCGTACAACGATCGGTGTTCCGGAGGACACAGCGGGCACTGGATCGCGGTGCTGTGCACTCCCAGGGAGCATGCACAGCTTGAAAATGCGGGTGCGATTTATGAACGGCAACCCGCCCCTGCACTGCCACCGTCCTGCCGTTTTATAAACGTGGTTAAGATCCTGGTCACAACGGGTGCGACTTGCCATGCGAGTTGCAAATCGCATGGCAAGTCCTCACCCTACTGTCCGCAATTACAGCCGTCACATAGGTGCGATTCTGACTTGGTCGGAGCTGCACCAATTTCTAAAGTAGTACACGACTTTTGGTGCGATTTGCATAGACCTCTGTGTCTCGCGAATCGCACCTGTAACTGGCGTCTCATCCGACTTTGAAAACGTGCGACTTCACTGTAAGTCACACAATGTCAAGGTTGGGTTTGGTGTGATTGGGGTTTCAAGTGACCGGTCACACCGGAGCGATTTCAAGTGCGATTTACAAATTTAAATCACATCTAATGAATGTGACTGTCAGTATCCTAACATTTGCTGCGGCGCGATTTCTAAAGTAGTTCTCGTGTTGCTTTTTCTGCAGTTTTGTTGCGATTCCACATACATAGAATATACTGGAAATCACACTGCAAATGGCAAGAAATCGTTGAAAAATCTTCACAAGTGGAAAAAAGTCTTCAGTGATCGCATCGAAATTGCACACAAATCACACAATTTTAAATCGCAGCAGTGTGACCGGTGACTTAGACCCCAATCACACCAGGTGCGACTTGCCACGCGAGTTGCAAATCACATAGCAAGTCGCACCCTATTGTCCGCAGTTAAAGCGGCTATATTGGTGCGATTCCGACTCAGTTGGAGCCACACTGATTTCTAAATTAGTGCATGTACTACTTTAGGTGCGACTTCAGGTGCGATTTGCATAGACAGCTGTGTCTTGCTTGCCGCACCTCAAGTCGGACGTTGCATGATTTCAAAGTCAGATCGGTGCGACTGGGGTGTAAGTCGCTGGTCACACCGCTGCAATTTGTGTGCAATTTCAGGGGCGATTATTGAAGACTTTATTGCTACCGGACAGTAATTCTGGATTTCTGTATCAAAAATATTTTCAGTTCACAAAAAGTTCCCCCCCCCCCCCCCGGTGTCAGAATTGTGTCTATTTCGGGTTAAACTTCTGATTTTTGTTAAAAATATATTAAAAAATGAAACAATGTATCTGTAGCACCTTGTGATTGTATTACAGTATTTGCAGCAAAATCCTCCCTCCAACCCCCAGGTGTACCGGCTCCTCCCCTTCAGTCTTGCACAGGTGTAGAGGCTCCTCCCCTTCCGTTTTGCAGTTGTGCTGGCTCCTCCCCTTCAGTCTTGCACAGGTGTACCGGCTCCGCCCCTTCAGTCTTGCACAGGTGTACTGGCTCCTCCTCTCCAGTCTTGCACAGGTGTACTGGCTCCTCCCCTTCAGTCTTGCACAGGTGTACCTGCTCCTCCCCTTCAGTCTTGCACAGGTGTACTGGCTCCTCCCCTTCAGTCTTGCACAGGTATACTGGCTCCTCCCCTTCAGTCTTGCACAGGTGTACCGGCTCCTCCCCTTCAGTCTTGCACAGGTATACCGGCTCCTCCCCTTCAGTCTTGCACAGGTATACCGGCTCCTCCCCTTCAGTCTTGCACAGGTGTACCGGCTCCTCCCCTTCAGTCTTGCACAGGTGTACCGGCTCTTCTGGACTGAAACTGCTTCCTCTGATGTCACTGCACACTGTGAGCATCTCACAATGTGTATTAGAAGCTGCCTCATTTCCTGGCTGGAGGATATCCAGCATCATCCACTACTTTCCTCCCCAGCCTGACTGTCCCTGGCCCCGCCCCTTTCATTCATTGGCTTTCAGTACTGTCATTCATGAAGGCTCAGCATCACATGTGGGTGTGTACCTAGGGCAGTCTGCATGCAGTTACAGGCCACTCCTCCAGACTGACTTCCACCAATCAAGGCATGTTGGTATTTGCATAACTCCTCTTAAGAGCCAACACACTACGTGCATCAGGGCTGAGGGCTCTGGAGAGGAGTACTGAGGCAGGGAGCTGTGATGGTTTCAGGAAGCCATGTGCAGCACTGGCCCCTCCCACAAGCTAGGAAATACCTGCTTTACATAGAGAAGCACAGGGACCCAGTGATGACATCACAGGATCTAAATTAAGGTATGTTATGAAAATGGAAGGTTTATTTTATTTAAAAATGTCATCAGCATGTTGATGAGGGGGGAGGAGGAACCAGGGAAATGTGTGAAACGGCCTGCTGGCTGCGTATGCAATAGTTCATATTTACTGAACAAAAAAGAATCAAAACATTTTTATTGTATGAACATAAAAAGGATATATACTATATCCCCCCCCCCCCCTCTCTCCCCTCTCTCTCTCTCCCCCTCTCTCTTACTCTCCTCTCCCCTCTCTCTCCCACCTCTCTTTTTCCCTCTCCCCCTTGCTCTCTCCCCCCTCTCTCTTACCCCTCTCTCTCTCTCTCTCTCCCCCCCCCTCTCTCCCCCCTCTCTTTTTTTTATTATTATACAGGATTTATGGTGCCAATAGTTTGCTCAGCACTTTACAATATAATGGAGGACAATACACGAGACAGTACAGTAACAATACAATACACGAGGGGTGCGAGGCAATCTCTTGGTCCCCCTTCTCTCTCCTCCCTATACGTATCTCCCTCTCTATATATACAATACCCCCCCTCTATATATATATATATACAATATCCCCCCCCTCTATATATACAATATCCCCCCCTCTATATATATACAATATCCCCCCCCCCTCTATATATACAATATCCCCCCCCTATATATATATATATATACAATATCCCCCCCCTCTATATATACAATATCCCCCCCCTCTATATATATACAATACCCCCCCTCTCTATATATACAATATCCCCCCCTCTATATATATATATGGTATCTCCCTCCCTCTATATATACAATATCCCCCCCTCTATATATACAATATCCCCCCCTCTATATATACAATATCCCCCCCTCTCTATATATATATGGTATCTCCCTCCCTCTATATATACAATATCCCCCTCTCTATATATACAATATCCCCCCCCTCTATATATACAATATCCCCCCTCTCTATATATATATGGTATCTCCCTCCCTCTATATATACAATATCCCCCCCTCTATATATACAATATCCCCCCCTCTCTATATATATATGGTATCTCCCTCCCCCTATATATACAATGCCCCCCCCTATATATACAATGCCCCCCTCTATATATACAATACCCCCCCATATATATATAGTATCTCCCTCCCTCTAGCGCTGTCCTGGATCCCACAGACAACGAGAAGAGTCAGTTTCAGACCTCCCCCCCCCCCAAAACAAAGCGTCCAGAAGGATGGCGGACCCCTTAGCACACCGCCCCCCCCTGGCTGAGCTCAGCTATGACGGTTTTGGGGGTCCCGGGATGTGCGCCCCTCACCCCGCTATAGTCCAGCTGCTGATCTGGCCGTGTTTGGTGGCATCGCTCAGCACCGGTGACAGCCGTCCGAGTAATCCGAGCGCCAGGAATTCTCTCCTGCAATCCTCCTGTCGGCGAGTCGCCTGTGGATCTTCTTTCATCACAGCAGTAAGAAGCCGGCAGCCCAGGTGGGGACACTTTACAGCGAGAAGAAAGCGCGATGGGGGATTTACGACCGGCGATAACGGCGCACAAGGTGCCACAGCCCAATAAAATGTCACCTGAGAAGGGGGTCCAACAGGATTACGGAGGGACATTACAGGCCATCGTGTGCTGACCTCTGACCTGGGGGAAGCCGGCTGCTGGAAATCCAAGGAGCGACCTGCACCTGCTGACATTCCATGGAGGGACGCTCCCAGCTCTGCCACACTGGCCACCTGCTGCCTGCCTAGCAGGACTGTCCGTGGGTCATAGGGACAGCGAAAAGGGACCCCAGACCACCCCATCCCAGGTCACTTCTATCAGGATTTAGGAGATTAAGACCCCGATAACTCCGGGCGCAACTCGGCATGCAATTTGCCACATCATGTGACTATGTGACTTGAAAATCGCACGGCAATTCGCACCCTATTGTCCGCAATTGCAGCCGTCGTATCATTCCGACTCGGGCGGAGCCGCACCGACTTCTAAAGGAGCGCAGGTGTGACTTCAGGGGCGACTTCCATAGACATACAGCAACAGGAGCATTGCTCAGAAAATCGCCACCTTTTATCATTACAAAGTCCTCCTTGAGCTCCAGTCAGTGACTCCCCTCCCCCAGGGATCAGACTGTACATTGTATCTTTGTAGAAGGAGTAGGAGGCATTTCCTCAGTCTAACTTCCCCTGGTGATCGGACTTTACATTGTAACTTTGCAGAAGGAGGAGGAGGCATTTCCTCAGTCTCCCCTCCCCCAGTGATCAGACTGTATGGAGGAGGAAGCATCTCCTCAGCCTCCCCTCCCCTCCCCCAGTGATCAGACTGTACATTGTAACTTTGTAGAAGGAGGAGGAAGCATTTCCTCAGTCTCCCCTCCCCCAGTGATCAGACTGTACATTGTAATTTTGTAGAATGAGGAGGAAGCATTTCCTCAGTCTCCCCTCCCCCAGTGATCGGACTTTACATTGTAACTTTGTAGAAGGAGGAGGAAGCATTTCCTCAGTCTCCCCTCCCCCCCAGTGATCAGACTGTACATTGTAACTTTGTAGAATGAGGAGGAAGCATTTCCTCAGTCTCCCCTCCCCCAGTGATCGGACTGTACATTGTAACTTTGTAGAAGGAGGAGAAGGCATTTCCTCAGTCTCCCCTCCTCCAGAGATCAGACTGTACATTGGAAAAAGGATGAGAGGCTGCAGCAGGGGCTGATCTGTGTCAGACATCTGTGAACACAGCCAAGACCTGCACAGGCACCAGAATCTATCTAGAACCAGCAAACACAAATGCTCCTGCGCTTGGGGATGGACTCGATGCTACAACCACATTAAGAATGTCCTGGAACATGCACACCTTGCTGCCCTCAAATGGACCGGGGGAATCCAAATATACTGAATGGGGAAAGAACAAAAAGAGGGCGCACAGGCCTAGTGCATTACCATAAAAAATGTTTAATAAAAAATAAAGTAGGTATTGTACTCACAAACGACAATATAGTCAAGGCACATCATAGAAGAACAGCTGGATCAACACCGCGCTGAGTAACAGTCCACAATAGGGAGTTTAGACATCCAAAAGGCTGACGCGTTTTCGAGGACTTGCCTCTCTGAGGAAGAGGCAAGTCCTCGAAACGCGTCAGCCTTTTGGATGTCTAAACTCCCTATTGTGGACTGTTATTCAGCGCGGTGTTGATCCAGCTGTTCTTCTATGATGTGCCTTGACTATATTGTCGTTTGTGAGTACAATACCTACTTTATTTTTTATTAAACATTTTTTATGGTAATGCACTAGGCCTGTGCGCCCTCTTCTGTTCTTTCCCCAACCAGAATCTATCTGATTGCGTTATCTCTGAGCCCACGTCTGAGTCCAGGAAGTAGATGGTGACCCTGGATGATGCCTGAACAAAGATGGCGCCGTCCTTCTGGAGAGAAAAGCAGATGGTGGGGATATGGGGATCTGTGAGCAAATATATGACCAAGCTTTTTTGGGAGTGCCCCTGATGACGTTGATGACGAAACACGTAGGGAAGGAGCTAAAGGATTGCGCTGTGTTGGGGAGGCTTTTAGGAAGGTCGCATCCCGGATCTAAATAGAAAATGTGAAACCTAGATGTCAGCAATCGCTTGCTTAACATTCTAACATTCAGTACAGATAACGCACCAGTAGAGGTAACTAGGACCCTAGTGGAGGTAACTAGGCCCCACCAGTAGAGGTAACTAGGACCCTAGTGGAGGTAACTAGGCCACACCAGAAGAGGGAAAGTGGTCACACCAGTAGAGGTAACTAGGCCACACCAGTAGAGGTAACTAGGTTACACTAGAAGAGTTAACTAGGCCACTCCAGTGAAGGCAACTCAGTCACACCAATAGAGGTAACTAGGTCACACCAGTAGAGGGAGCAAAGTCACACCGGTGGGGGGGGGGGATTGGTAGGTCACACCAGTGGGGGGGGGGGGGGCCTGGTCACACCAGTGGGGGGGGGGGGGAGCCAGGTCACACCGGGGGGGGGGGGGGGGGGGGGGGGTGGTAGGTCACACCAGTGAGGGGAGCCAGGTCTCACCAGTAGGGGGGAGCCAGGTCACACCAGTGGGGGGGGAGGAGTCAGGTCACACCAGTGAGGGGGGGGAGCCAAGTCACACCAGTGAGGGGGGGGAGCCAAGTCACACCAGTTAGGGGGGGGGGGAACAGGTCACACCAGTGGGGGGGGAGCCAGGTCACACCAGTGAGGGGGGGGAGCCAGGTCACACCAGTGGGGGGGGGCAGGTCACACCAGTGGGGGGGGGGGAGCCAGGTCACACCAGTGAGGGAGGGGGAGCCAGGTCACACCAGTGGGGGGGGGGGGGGGCAGGTCACACCAGTGGGGGGGGGCAGGTCACACCAGTGAGGGGGGGGAGCCAGGTCACACCAGTGGGGGGGGGGGGGGGCAGGTCACACCAGTGAGGGGGGGGGGCAGGTCACAGAGTGAAGATTGAGCAACAGAAGAATTTTTGCTGCACTTTGTCTATTAGAGGAGGGGGGGGCGATGATCTCATCTGTGTGCTGCTTCCCCTTCATTATCCAAGCCTCGGGGGGGGGGGGGGGGGGGGGGGGGGGGCAGATGGATGACCAGGATGCATTACTACAGCAGCAAACAAAACCATGAGGTCACAATCCTGGCTGTACTGTCTGGCCGGGGTGCCGGGATCATGGAACTGGCGGAATGCATTTACAGATGCTCTGGTACACAGTATTGGCCCCCCCCCCCCCCCCCCCCGTGATGCTGGAGGAAGCGAGGCCACGTCTCGGCTCCTAGAGAACTCCCCGGTCTAGGGGGGGGGGGGATCCCAC